ACTCTATGAGAGGTAATTCCTGCCGGTTTGTCAATTAAAAGAAGGCCGTCCATGTTGATTAAAAAGGAGTTTTTTGGTTTGTGGAAAATTATAAATACTATAAAATTAATTTAATAAGCAAAAAAAATATGTCCGAGAAAGTAATTGAAATTAAACAAATTGGTAAAAGATATGGCGATAAAACAGTTTTAAATAATGTTTCTTTTGCCGTGCGAAAAGGAACTATTCATGGCTTTATTGGTCCTAATGGAGCCGGTAAAACGACTACACTCAGCATTTTGACCCGCTTAGTCTTGCCAACCCACGGCGAGGCTTATATTGAAGGTAAATCAGTTAACCGCGACCCTCGCTTTAATGAGCAGTTGGGTTTTATTCCTGCCGAACCAAAATTTCCTAATTTGACAGTGGAAAAATATCTGCTAGATGTTGGCTATTTGCGGGATATTCCGAGCGAAGTAGTATTACGAAAATTGGTTGGCTCACCACTTTCCCAATTTCGTTCGCAAAATTGTCATTCTCTCTCAACTGGTTGAAAAAAAATCCTCCAAGTTTTCACTTTGAGCCTTTACCGACCAAAGGTCTATTTGCTGGACGAGCCTTTTAATGGTTTAGACCCTAGTTTTCGCCAAGATTTATTTAACAATTTGAAAAATATTCGTGACAAAGGTGGCACCATTCTAATGTCAACCCACATTCTTTCTGACCTCCAAAAATTAGCCGACGATATTACTATGATTAGGCGAGGTCGAATAGTCTACACGGGTCCAAAAACGGACGATATTGAAAAAACCTATGAGGATTATTTTGTGGAAAAAGGTTCAAAATTATTTGAATTATAATAAATTAAATTATGTCGAAAATCGGAAAATTATATAGATTCTATTTGGGAAAAATCTGACAAAAAAATTGAGGGCGAATTCTCGTTTTCACCATTTTAATTGGAGTGGTGTGGTGATTTGTGGTTCCGTGGGCGGCAATGAAAGCTTTCAAAGGCACAGTGGAAGCAGCAAATTCGGAGGAATTTCAAAAATTAGACCCTGAAGCAAAAAGTAAATGGGACAAAGCATATTCTTTTTCAGATGGAAACAGGTTAAGATTTGGAGTGTGGAAAAATGATAGGATTAAAAAATCTAACAGAGAAACAATAGAAAAGTATGTAAAGAAATTAGAAGAAGGCGATGAAGAAGTGAAAGATTGGGGATACCAAGAAAGATTGCAATTTTTGACTTGGCGAAGTGCTGATAATGGTGGCAATGCTTTTTTTTCTACTCCGTGGTCGGCAGACAACGCTTTCTTTTTTTCCCAAA